TGCGAATTTAACGGGCTAAAATTATATCATCTTATTTCATTCTTTAATAAATACTTTACTTAATAAATTTAATGAATTATTGAATTAATAATTTTAGAAAGTAAAAATATAATAAAAAAGATGTTTATTTATAATAATTAATAATAAAAAATAATTGACTCTAAATAAAATTATGAATATTAATCAAAATAACCTCAGGCGATCTCTTCATCAAAGCATATGTTCGAAAATGAAAAATCAATGTGCAAAACTTCTTGCCCTGATTCAGAAATCTACCTGTCGCGAAATATCTTCTTGCACATAATATTTCATACATTTCTTCTTTTTTACGGAGGAAATTAATTATTTTTTAATTTAATTTAATTGAAATCATGCTTATTATAAATTTATAATATATCAAATAATTACATATGATTAAAAGTAAAATTGAAAATTGTTTATTATATCACTAATGATAATATGCATTTTATTGTATAATCGATATTTTTATGTAACAAAATCGAAGGACACCCAACTTCTTCACTACAAGATATTTAATTAAAATCAATTCAATTTTTTTCATTTATTCGAATATTCGCTCTTATTACTAAATTCATATAGTTATTCAAATAGTTCGATTCATATAGTTGTTTAATCTTTATTTTACAAATAAATTACAAAACATTTTCAACTATAAACAATCAAACTAATTTGTATCGTCCATACTAATCATATTAAAATAATTTTAGATATATATTATATAATATTAACTATTAATATTATCTTAAAAACGCGACGTGCAAGAAGATCTATCCTGATCTAATAAATAAAGTACAAAGAAATGTTACTATTCACGGGTATGATAAATACCCGCGGTCATTATGCTCGTGCAAAAATCTACGTATACAACCAATCATCCGTGTCGATTGGGACCTTTCGTCCTACGACATGATTGAATGACCGGAGGAACATAAATGCATGCGACTCACCAATAGATGCGAAGAATCTGCATTGTCGTGGCCCAAGATGTCATCGTGAAAGTAGTCATCATCAGGAAGTGGAAACTATAACAAAACATGAAACATTATAATTAAAACACAATACTGATTATTTAAAAAAGTTGAACTGGAAAATATATATAAATAATTACCTCTTCGCGTGGTGGATGATTGCCCTATTCCTTCGAGAAACACTGACTCTACCCTGTACCGAAAACGAATATTTAAAAAAATAAAATAAAAAATAAAAAACTACCACCGCGTCGATTTAAAATATAGGCGACGAACAAGCACTGACTCTAGTTTCCCGAATACTTATGATAATTTAATTAGAGCTATTATACACTAAAATATTTAAAAAAAAACTGTTACGTAACAAACACTGATTCTACAGACCGCATTGCACGCGATCACAAATATTTTTTTAAATTGTAGTCCAGTAGAAATGTTCATAAACACAGGCAAAGTCAGGCATCTTTAACAAAATTAAAGTATTATGTTTAATTATTTTTATTATACAATATTAATGATATAAAAATATTGAAATAATAAAAAAAATCTATTAAATTTCAAATTTTAATATGAATAAAGATTGAATATCCAATAAACTATAATAACGATAACAATATATAATACAAAAAACTGAGAATCTATTAACTTTATTC